AAAAAAAAAAAAAAAATGAAGAGTGCTTCTCGCGCCAAAAGAACTATTTTTTTCTTCCTCCGCGTTTTAAGCGAGCCTGTCTTCTTTTGTTTTCATTTAAAAACTTTATTGTGTGGCTTTGTGTGGGTCTGTGTGTGTGTGTGCACGCGCGCGCGTGTGTGTGTTTGTTTGTTTATTTGTTTGCTTGCTTTTTTTTTTTTTTAATTTTTATTATTATTTAATTATCTTAGAGAATATTCTTCCCAAATGGAAGAGTTATAATTAAATACCACTTTTCGATACAATAGAATAGAGCCACAGAGCACACTTTGAGGGCATACACTTCGTTGTGAATGTGCTGTACCGTATGTAATGAAAAGTACAAGTGTTGCTATTTTGTAATTTGCTCGAATCACTGGTGTAGTACGGCTACAGGCACCTTAACTGCATAACATCAACAGGGGCGTAGGTAGGGGGTGCGGAGGGGGGAGGGGTCTGCCCCGGGCGGCACAATTTTTCTTTATATGAAAAAAAAATGGTGGGGGTGGCATTTTCGGTAAAAAAGCAGAGGTCGTTTTTTTCCCAACCCAAGCAGCGCCACTGAACATGAATCACTTGACTGGTGTAGCACAACTACAAGCACCTCCACTACAGAGCACTTGTCTCGTGCGTGGGCGTCTGCAGTGTCGTTGACACAATGGACACTGGACACAGACAAACATGTTCATTGGAGATACATGGCTTGGTGAGGGAAGTAAATGAGTGATGGGAAGACGACAGATGGGAGATGGGTGGTAGGCATGAGAGGGCTGGGATAACTGCTGGAGGGAGATGGGAGGTAGACATGAGAGGGCTGGGATAACTGCTGGATGGAGATGGGAGGTAGACATGAGAGGGCTGGGATAACTGCTGGAGGGACATGGGAGGTAGACATGAGAGGGCTGAGATAACTGCTGGAGGGAGATGTGAGGAAGACAGGGGATGGTATGAAGACAGCGGAAGGAATACGATAAGGGGAGGAAGATAATGGGATTATGATGATATATGATGGGAGGAAGAAAGAAAGGAGTTGGAATGTAGATATGAGACAGGCAGGAAAAGGAGAAGAGGGGATAAGATGTACGAGGTAGACAGGCGGTTCAAAGGGGAACATTGGAAGAAGACAGGAGGGAGATTGGAGGAAGACATGAAGGAGATTGGAAGAAGACAGGGGGGAAATTGGAAGAAGACAGGAGGGAAATTGGAAGAAGACAGGAAGAAAATTGGAAGAAGACAGGAGGGAAATTGGAAGAAGACAGGAGGGAAATTGGATGAAGACAGTAGGGAGATTGGAGGAACGAACACACAAGGGATAAAGTAGGAAGACAGATGGGACGTTGGAGATAGACTCGATGGAGACTGGAGGAATGAGTGGGTGGAACTAATAACACAGCGTTTAATTTTGTTACGTGACTATAATCTCTATCGAACTGGATTATTCCCAGAGAGATTTCGACACACTGTCATAGTCGGCATCTGCAGCCATCACAGCCGAGTTGCTTCCCTTTTTATGAAGGACTAACACATTTGTAGTCTCCCTTATCTCTTGTTGGACGTACTTGTTTGATCTTGTATTCCCTTGATTCCCGTTGTTTCGTTCAAACCATCAGCCGCCATCTTGAAATCGTCCCCGTTTGCCGTAACGAACACGTGACCGTCTGACGTTTAAGGGGAAGAGAAGAAGAAGTCAAAACTAATTGACCCAAAAGTTCAAACTGTAAAAAGAAATTCCTTTTAGCGATGACCAGATTACTACCACAGAAATTGTAGACGTGGTTATGATGCCAAGAAAAGGAAGGACCACCCGTTGACTTTGGGGTACCAGATAATTTTTGGCTTGCATTGCACCGCTGAATTGAAATCTGCATACCACCGTGCTTATTTCTGTGACCTTACGAGATTCCGCGAGATTTCTAGACTAAGACATAGAGAATAGTTAAGGGGGTGTATCCAGTGGCGAATATAGGGCTGGTGTCACCCGGTGCGTTCCGCACCACCCGCGCCCCCCCCCCCCAGCTGCAGGCTACGCCACTGGGTATCCAATAAGTTTTATTTCAAAGCGGTTGATTAAATCACATACAAAAGTGTCAAATGAATTTATTTGCAAAGATTACCTCATAAATTGTCTACATAAACTACGGCTTGCGATCAGGCACACACAAACAAAACAAAAAATGGTGACTTAATCATCGGCCATTTCCCGCGTGGTTTATGAAGGGAAGTGAACATTCTGCATCTCTGATGATGCGGTGTGCACCCCTGAATTTAT